ACTCACTGTACACTGCCTGCAAACTGCTGGCCCTATCCTCTGCCCTGCTGACCCCTATACACTGCCTTACTGACCCTTGTACACTCCCCTGCCATCCCCTGTCCTGATAACTCACTGTACACTGCCTGCAAACTGCTAACTGCCTGCAAACTGCTGGCCCTATCCTCTGCCCTGCTGACCCCTATACACTGCCCTACTTACCCCTGTACACTCCCCTGCTGTCCCCTGCCCTAGGAACTCACTGTACACTGCCTGCAAACTGCTAACTGCCTGCAAACCGCTGACCCCATCCTCTGCCCTGCTGACCCCTGTACACTGCCCTACTGACTCTTGTACACTCCCCTGCTGTTCCCTGCCCTGAGAACTCACTGTACACTGCCTGCAAACTGCTGGCCCTATCCTCTGCCCTGCTGACCCCTATTTACTGACCTACTGACTCTTGTACACTCCCCTGCTGTCCCCTGCCCTGAGAACTCACTGTACACTGCCTGCAAACTGCTGGCCCCATCCTCTGCCCTGCTGACCCCTATACACTGCCCTACTGACTCTTGTACACTCCCCTGCTGTCCCCTGCCCTGAGAACCCACTGTGCACTGCCTGCAAACTGCTGGCCATATCCTCTGCCCTGCTGACCTCACATCCTCTGCCCCCTGGGATATACTTTACTGCACCCCCATATCACACAGGCTAGATCCAGCCCTGGGTGGCACAGACTATCAAACCCACTCATCAAGATCAATGGGGCCATGCCACAACTGCAAGCTAAACCCTTGCCCCGCAATGTACAGTTGCTGTTTGGCTCAAAAAAAAAGAAAAAAAAAAAAAAAACACGTTCCAGGAGGCGACAGTTGTTCCACATTCATACCTGCCAGCGGCTGCTATATGGCCCATTGAAAAGCAATCAACTCTGGGTCACTTATCAGAAGGCAGTAAGCATTACCACCTGTCTGAAAGAATCCATAAGGACTCATCAATAAGAAAACTGGCATCACAGAATTCAAAATGTTTTGTTGAGTAAATATTTCTTATATATTTATTTCAGTTGTTTATTTAAGTGCTTTCCTGAGGGTCCGCTGTAAAGTAACATACAGCCCAGCTGCAACACTTTACATTTAATAGGGCTCAGCAGCATAAGGACAGAGTCCCTACACATGCCTGGTTCCACACTCTGTCTCTAGTCATCTTGTATGATATAAAGTGGATGACAACCTCAGACATGAAATAAAAGAATATACCTCTCTATAGTGTGTACTTGTCTTAATCAAGAGCATAAAGTGTCATTTCTGTCTGCTGCTTTGTTCCTCTGCTATCAGCACAAATCACTTCTGACAAATTATCCTGACTCCAAGAGAAAAATGATGTCAGGGGAGGGAGCTCTAGCAGATTGACAGCCTTAGCTCTGTTCCTGTGTGCTGTGTGAAGAGAGGGGGGGTCTCTTTTTCTCCAATCAGCTCTCATAACTCTCTTCACTGAGCTCTACAGAGTGTAATTTTAGCTCTCCGCCTATTTTTTCTGAACTCTCAGACAAGCTTCTAGATTATGGACTTTGAACAGATGGAGATGACTGCAGATAAACAGGTACAACTCTTATGTAGGAGGATTTGTTTAATCTCTGTGTATATATGTAAGGGTTTACAACCCCTTTATCTTTCTCATGTCAGAGTTGCTCCTGATGACTGGGGATTTGGGGGAATATTTACGCAGTGACAGGAGAGGCACAGGAAGCACAGATCAACACAAGGGATGAGGAAGAAACAGGGAGATCTGGACACATCAGGTCCTCAGGTACTGTCCTCCTTGCTGGAGAGCAAGCTGTGAGCAGCACATCTCATGAGACTAGCTGTTAGAAGCAGCAGTGCCTTAGGTTAGGTACACACTACTACTAATGTTGCAAGATCTGGTGCTTCCCCATCATGCTGAGCAGGGGCGGACTGACAACTCATGGGGCCCCCGGGCAATAGGGGATTATGGGGCCCCTGTGTCCTTGCCAAGACTCAAAAAAGCCTATGAAAAAGGTACCAGGGGCATCTCATGGGGCTCCCTACTGACCCCGGGCCCTCGGCAGTGCCCGAGTTTCCAAATGGTCAGTCCACCCCTGATGCTGAGTAATGCACTGCTGTTTAGAAGTCAGCAGTGCCATTAATTGTTCATGACACCCCCATGCATCTGCTAACACACAGCAAACCGTAAGTTGCTGCAGCACCATACAGTTTAGTGTGGTGCGTTTTTTTGTAAAAGAGTCAGAGACTTCTTTTCTGTATTTCCATACTTCTTGCAATGAATGGGCTGCCCTACATGCAAAGTGCGGGGAGTGCATGTTCATGTGCACCTGCAAATGAAGCTAGCTTTAGGTGGTCTCAGCCGTCAGATATGCAGGCTATAGTCATAAGAGTGCCTAGGCATTAGAAGTACACTGTACACTATTTTTCAGAGGGATTAGCCCTCAGATGAGGGGTTGCATGCGAGCTGCAGCAGCACCGAGCATTGATTTTTGCAGAGTACAAATCTGACAGCTGCAGCTGTTCACACACAGTATGTGCAGGCAGCATTTACAACTACTGATTCTTGTCGGCACCCGCAGCTAAACTGCAGTGTGAATGATTCACTGGTAGCCTAAGGACTCATTTGGACCGGTGCTGAGTCCTGTCCTCCATGCTGAGCTGCTGTCTACTGACTGTGCATCCACTTTGAAGCTGCATGCAGGCAGTCTATAGAAGTGGATACAGAAGCAGCAACTGCATGGACACAATCACAGGTCAAAATCTGACAAGCAAGCAGAAGTGGGGGCCAAAATCCGAACACAAAGGGTCTGTGTTTGGATCCCTGCACCTGACCCTGCCCACATATCCACTTCTATAGGTTGCCTGCACACAACTCTGAGGTGGACGCACACACAGCAGGCAATGGCTTAGCACGGATAATGGAACTCATGGCACTCAGAGCCCTTAGGATGGCCTTCAGTGAAACTGATCATGCAGGTTATTTAATATAGTTTTCCTTTTTATCATATATTATTTAATTTTTTTTCTTTTTTTTGTTATCGTGGGGTTTTCTTTTTTTTCATATACACTATATTGCCAAAAGTGTTGGGCAGCCCTCCAAGTCATTGGATTCAGGTGTTCCAATCACCTCCATGACCACAGGTATATAAAATCAAGCACCTAAGCATGCAGACTGCTTCTACAAACATTTGTGAAAGAATGGGTCGCTCTCAGGAGCTCAGTGAGTTCAAGTGTGGCACCGTGATAGGTTGCCTCCTGTGCAATAAGTCCTTCTGTAAAATTTCCTTGCTATTAAATATTCCACGGTCAACTGTTAGTGGTATTATAACAAAGTGGAAGCAACTGGGAACAACAGCAACTCAGCCATGAAATGGTAGGCCATGCAGACTTACAGAGCGGGGTCAGCGCATGCTGAAGCGCACAGTGCGCAGAAGTCGCCAAATGTCTGCAGAGTCAATAGCTAAAGACCTCTAAACTTCATGTGGCCTTCAGATTAGAACAACAACAGTGTGTAGAGAGCTTCATGGAATGGGTTTCCATGGCTGAGCAGCTGCATCCAAGCCTTACATCACCAAGTGCAATGCAAAGCATCGGATGCAGTGGTGTAAAGCACGCGCCACTGGACTCTAGAGCAGTGGAGACGTGTTCTCTGGAGTGACCAATCACGCTCCTCTGTCTGGCAATCCGATGGATGTGTCTGGGTTTGACGGTTGCCAGGAAAACAGTACTTGCCTGACTGCCTTGTGCCAATTGTAAAGTTTGGTGAAGAAGGGATTATCGTGTGGGGTTGTTTTTCAGGCGTTGGGCTTGGCCCCTTAGTTCCAGTGAAGGGAACTCTTAAGGCGTCAGCATACCAAGACATTTTGGACAATTTCATGCTCCCAACTTTGTGGGAACAGTTTGGGGATGGCCCCTTCCTGTTCCAACATGACTGCACACCAGTGCACAAAGCAAGGTCCATAAAGACATGGATGAGTGAGTTTGGGGTGGAGGAACTTGACTGACCTGCACAGAGTCCTGACCTCAACCCGATAGAACACTTTGGGATGAATTAGAGCGGAGACTGCGATCCAGGCCTTCTCGTCGGACATCAGTGCCTGACTTCACAAATGAGCTTCTGGAAGAATGATCAAACATTCCCATAGACACTCCTAAACCTTGTGGACAACCTTCCCAGAAGAGTTGAAGCTCTTATAGCTGCAAAGGGCGGGGCCAACTCAATATTGAACCCTATGGACTAAGACCGGGATGCCATTAAATTTCATGTGTGTGCAAAGACAGGTGGCCCAATACTTTTGGCAATATAGTGTATTTTTGTATTGGGTCTCATTTCTGATTTCACAAACATTCTTTTCTGGTATACGAGGTTTTGCTATTGAGATCTCAACAACGTTTGGTTTTACATTTGGTGCATTCAATGCAACACAATGAAAAAGTGGTGCAATATAGAACTATCTGAATTTGGTGCACAGGTCACTGTCAGAACCAAAAGCGTCACAAATGCTTCATGAATTTGCACAATACATTAACAAGATGGAATATTACCAGAAAAGTGGTGCAGCAGCTTTATGGAATTCCTCCCGTTGTTTTCAATCGTACCTGTACACATCAATACAACTCAGCACAATGCAATTTTGGAAAAGGTTCCTCTACTAGTTTGGATTCAATTCTAGCAGGATTTGACCCCACAGAATATACAATCCTTATCAAAGTTACATCCAATTTGTACTACATAATCACACTAAGGGCTCATGTACACTGCAGCTGATAAACTGACATTCAGGAGCTGTTCTGCATTTTTTTTCAGCAGCCCCTGAACTCTCCCTAATGTTTTCCTATGTGTCCATGTACACATCATTATTTACAGTCGTTTACAGGCAGTTGAGGTTACAGTCGTTTTTTTGAATGCACCAAACTTGCGTTCAGGAGCAGATTTTACCGGCATTTCAAACGCCAAATGCTTGTAATTGCGGTTAACAGTGTTTATAAGCGTTTGCGTCCAGATGCTGTCCACAGCCTTTTTTCATCATCAGAAATACATGCAAAGTGTTTTCCATGTATTCAAATGGACCCGGTACACCAGTGCAGTCAGTTCCAGGTTTCGTGTGAAGGAAAAAACGGTAGAACGTGCCGCATTATGCTCATGATGGGATCCATAGTGAATACAACCAGAAAAGACAAGTCATCTCAACACATACTGCTCTCTCTACTTCTGCTCTCTCTATTCCTCCCATAGGAAATCATGTTAAATGGACTGTAGTGAGTTTCTTCAAAACGCTGCAGAAAATGCTTAGGTGTGAACCTAGGGTACGTGAGTTTAATTACCAAGGGATGAGGTGGCAACCCTAGGCTGCAGTGTACATGAACCCTAAAAGTCGGATCAAATTCAGATTGCAGCAGTGTGAACGGAGCCTTAATATTTGAGATCCTCTTTCTGGTGTGCTGGCCATTTTTCTGCCTATGGATTTTTGCAGTGTCACTGTAGCCCATGCACCCGGGATCTGGTGAGAAAGGTGAAGGTGGATGGATGGTGCGACACATTGGGCTGCATCACTATGGAGTCACTTCACATGGGACATCTGTGCTTCACAAGAATTATATTAGTATCCTTGCTGGTGTGTTTTATCAGCGGATCACTAACATGATCTTATTTTTGATCCAGTGCAATAGTCTGACAGCTGCAGTATTACGGACATCTCTGCGTCTCTGTACCTGCAGTGCATTGTGGGAAGCAGCCTGGCAGCAGCGACTAGAGGGTTTCCTACCTTTGGGACAGAGCCGTGTTGCTGCAGCAGTCTGGGAAGCCGAGCGGATGTGACAATGGAGACAGAAAGGCTTCTCTTCTACTCCTTCCTTGCTCGCTGGGTCATTGCTATGGAGAATTCCTGTAGTAACATTCACATTTGTCAGAACACATCTGGCGCAGAACAAGCATTTCCAGCATTCACAGTCTGGGATATGGAAACTATTCCCCAGAAAAGTACAACAGCTGTGACAACAGTACCAGCTCTGTGGTGGATGCAAGATGACAGATATGGGGCTCATGTAGGGTAGCTGCCTCGTCCCTTTAAACCTGAACACATATTAACCACTTGCCCTCCAGAGGATTTACCCCCCTTCCTGACCAGGACATTTTTTGCGTTACGGCACTGCGTTACTTTGAAAATTGCGCGGTCATGCAATGCTGCACCCAAATGAAATTTATGACCTTTTTTTCACTAATTGAGCTTTCTTTCGGTGGTATTTGATCGCCTGTGCGTTTTTTATTTGTTGCGCTATAAGCAAAAAAAGACCGACAATTTTGAGAAAAAAAGAATATTTTAGACTTTTTGCTATTAAACATATCCAGTAAAAAAATTTAAAAAATCAAAATTTGTCACAAATTTAGGCCAAAATATATTCTGTGACATGTCTTTGCTAAAAAAAATCCCAATACGTGTAAATTAATTGGTTTACATGAAAGTTATAGTGTTTACAATGGTAATGGGATTTTTTTTTTTCTACTATTAATGGCGGCAATCAGTGACATTTAGCAGGACTGCGGGACTGCGGCGGACATTCTGACTTTGCAGGGGAACTAACTAGGTGTCACTGACATCCCCAGTGACACCAATACAGTGACCAGTGCTAAAAAAAATGCACTAACACTGTACTAATGGCACTGGGCAGGAAGGGATTAATGTGAGGGGGATTGTGTACTGTATGCTGGGGGTGCTTTACTAGGGGGGTGGGTGTTCTTCACTGTAAGCACACTGATCAGGATGGCTGTACTGTGCACAGCCATCCCGAATAGTGTGCTCGAGCTGACAGGGAGGAAGATTGTTTGTAAACAAAACAATCTTCCTGCCCATCAGAGATGCTTGGTAATCTTACTGGCTGAGACCCGGTGATTGTCATCCGCAGCCACAAACGGCAGCGTGGGTAGGGCACGTGCCCTACCCGGAAATGCAGAATGACGTATATATACGTGATCCTGCACACAGGTGCCGCCCTGTAGCAGTATATCTGCTATAGGGCAGTCCTTAAGCGGTTAATTACACAGGTTCTGGAGCTAATTAACATAAGGCTCTAACCCTAGGTTCCCACCTATGCAGTTTGCGTTTGATCCGTTTCTGAAGTGTTTTTTGGCACATGCGTTTTTGCCGCGTTTTGTTTTTTTTCTTGTTGCTAGGCAGATTTAAAACACAAAACGCATCAAAAACATGGCGAAAACGCAGCACAAGTGCAGCAAAAATGCACTACATGATTTTCTGCAGCATTTCCATTGAAGTCTATAGAAACAAAAATGCAACTTTTTGCGTTTAAAGAGATGCAAATGTGTCCCATAGGAAATCATGTTAAATGGACTTTAGTAAGTTTCTTCAAAACGCTGCAGAAAATGCTTAGGTGTGAACCTACGGTAAGTGAGTTTAATTACCAAGGGATGAGGTGGCAACCCTAGGCTCATGGACACGGGCGGAATAAAATGATGACCTTGCTGGCAGAAAGATGCTGCATAAAAAATGCATGGAATAGTACGAAAGCTGCTTCTGTATAGACGTCAAACCTCAGCAACATGTTCACAAAAGTAACATTTTTCTTCGATTCCTCTAGCTCAGTTTTCAGTCCCAGCAGGTACATGTATTTACATGCAAGTCATGAGGAAATACTGACCGGAGATGCAGAACTTTGTGTTCTGATTTACGCACTGAATGCAGCACACGATTATGGAGCACAACGCAGCTGTACAATACCGGTGTGTTCAGATCTGGAAAGCCTTATTCACACACTAGGGTTGTCACCTCATCCTTTTAGGGCTCCATTCACACCTATGCAGTTTGCTTTTTGTCTGTTTTGCAGTGATTTTTGCAGTTCGTTTTGCGGTTTCTACACACGTTTTTGATGCTTTTTTACAGCATTTTCTTCAGCTCTTTAAGTGGAATTTGTTTTAGTTTCTGAGCAGAATAAAAATGCAAATGCAAAATGCGTCAAAAACACACTACCGTGCATTTCAGCAGCTTCTCTATTGAACTCTATTGTAGCAAAAACACTGCTTATTGCTTTTAAAAAAGTCCTTGACCCTTTCCAAAAATGCAGCAACTCAAAAAAGCATAGATGTGAACAGGGGCGGACTGACAACTCATGGGGCCCCCGGGCAATAGGGGATCATAGGGCCCCTGTGTCCTTGCCCAAACTCAAAAAAGCCTATGAAAAAGGTACCAGGGGCATCTCATGGGGCCCCCTACTGACCCCGGGCCCTCGGGCAGTGCCCAAGTTTTCAGATGGTCAGTCCGCCCCTGGATGTGAACATGTTCCATAGAAAACCATGTTAAATGGACTGTCCTGCGTTTCTGCAAAAAGCACTAAAAACACTTTGGTGTGAATGGAGCCTAAAACCAAACACGTTAATATTGGGGCAGCACAGTGACTAAATGGTTAGCACATCAGCCTGGCAGTACTAGGGTTGCTGGTTCACATCCCAACCCCAGCACCACCTGCCTGGAGCTTGCATGTTCTCCATGTGACTGTGTGGGTTTCCTCCCAAACTCCAAAAGACATGCTGGTAGGTGAATTGGCTCCTGTCTAAATTGGCCCTAGTATGTGTATGTATGAATGTGAGTTAGGGACCTTAGATTGTACACCCCTTGAGGGTTAGGAACTGATGTGAATGTACAATATATATGTAAAGTGCTGTGTAAATTGACAGTGATATACAAGTACCTGAAATAAATAAATAAATTTACACAGATTCTGAGGCTAATTTAATACAGATAAGTGAGTTTAATTACCATCTTAGCCCCTTGGCGCCAATGTAACACAAATATGCAGCCCTGCTGGACTTGGCTTTTTTCTGTATTTCCCTTTGTGCTGGGAGTGCACCGCATGGTGTGTTTCCAGCACAGAGACCGGGGTCTCACTGAGAGTGCCAGGTCCCATACAAATCCTCCCAAAAGGATGGAAAAAAGAGAAAAAAGGAGGGAAGAGCACTGCCCAACTGGCCTCCAAGAGTAACCACCTCACGGTACCGCCAGGGCGACAGGTGGACAAATAATATATTTGCAAAATAATTTTGCAAATGTAGATGTTCCATTCATACTCTATATTATAGGATTGTATGTTAATGCCCAATGGCATGGAAAGGTTCCCTAATATTACTGGATTTGTCCAAGGGCTGCACATGCACGTTGGGCAGTGCCCTTCTCTCCTCTTTTCTCTTTTTTCCATCCTTTTGGGAGGATTTGGGAAACAGTGGCTGTATTTATGCTCTTTGCTTTTATTAATTGGCGGTGTTTCCGTGTTTTGCTGTCTCGAAACACGTCAAGTGCTTACATGATTGAATTTCATCTCCTCTACCTGTGCATTTATTGTAACAGATATGTCATGTACAGCTGCCATATTTTGTACGTCTATGTGTGTCAATTGACATATATGTCTATGGACAAAGACAACTCCCTCTGAATGTCAAAGGCAAAAGGTGAACAGAATTAGAAATCCTGCTCTGCAGAGAGGGAAATGGACTAGTTGATTTAGTTGGCACTGCTGTATCTTTGGCTGTAATTGTGTGTCCTGTGGTCAGCTTAAATGAAAACTGTACTGCAGATATATTTCAACAATGGCGGTGATATAACTAGGCTGAAAACTAGGGCAACTGTATGTAATGTTCACAACTATGTGCAAGCAGATAACTGAGGTGGTGAACTATCAATGTTCATTTTGTTAGTGGATGCATGGGCCTCTCACAATCAATGTGGCAGATTGCCGCAGTCCATCATAGAGACAGTCCATGGGCCCTCTGGTTCAGACTTGGTGTTCTGCTGTCAGAGTGGCCTGCTTAGCAGTGAGTTCTTTCCGCTCTCTCTCTGTGCAATCCTGGCCTAGTTCAGCACTTCCACTTCAATCTTCCTCTCCACTCCCCTCGCCAATCTCTCGGGCTTTGATATTTATATGCCCACACCCACACTCTACCTCTCTTGGGAAATGTAGTCCCAGGCACTCTGCTTCTCAGCCAAGTCCTGCTGTTCAGAAATACAAGTTCCAGAGGGCAGTTCTGTCAATGTGAGTGAATCGGAATAGCAGGCCACCGCCATCTTTAGTGTATTGCAAGTAATAACATTTCAATGGGTTACTCCCAGATCCTTGTCCTCAGTGCTTTTCTAAACCTGGTCAGCTGTAGCTCCATGAGGTCACTGCTATCCAGCAAGCAGCCCGCACAGTAGGTCCAGAATCTCTGGCCCTATGTTACAGTTTGCAGGAGCAGCAGGGATTGAGGGAGTGAACAAGAGCAGAGAACATACATTTGGCTATACTACTGGCAAAACTTTTTTGTTTTGG